TTGTGTATCTGTAGGACGATCTAACAGTCATTTGTAACAGCAACATTCCACAAATAGCAATGAAGTGAATGACCAATTTGTGTGGAGGATTGTTAGTGACGACACTGGGAGAAACTCTTCCTTTTTTGAAGGGGCCGTTGGCAGTGACGTTGGTAAACCATTGAATAATGGCATCATAGTCAAGTCTGATGCTGTCCTCATCTTATGTCAATGCCCAATCTGGGAGAGAGGAGGTCAGAATAGCGATCAGAAGTGAGAGTTCTAGTTAATTGTCTACCTGTCTAATCCAGAGGTCTTGGAAGTCGGATTATAGTAATATCCTAAATGCTGCCACAGTTCAGCTCATTCAGCTCATAGATATGAACGTGCAACCAGCATGGCATAGGGCTGGGCAGTATCTCATCCAAAGGACAGTATGTACAACATTCCAGTACACCCCCAGCATTGCATTGGAGTGTCAGCATGGACTACGTGAGTTCAAAGTCTCAACATGGGGCTGGAGCCCCTATCTGACTCAGAGGCAAGGGTGCTACCAACTGAGTCAAGCTGAAACGGTACATAAACAAAGTATATCCTTATCCAGGTACAATTTATCCCCAGATGTTTGAACTGAGGTACAGTTGCGTTGTGCTCAGAGCAAGAGCTTGTGGAGCTGACAATGTGACTCAGATCTGCGGGTTGATGTTTCTTCATTACATTGACCATGTTTAAACAGTGTTTACAACAGCACTGCACCATTAGGCAAAATGTTGGGTTGTTTCATATCAAAGCCAAGTTAATTGTGGATAAACACCATCAATCTTCAAAAGAAAATCACTAAATTAATCTTTTATTATCTCTTACAATTTGCCTTGTATCTGTTTCCAGGTAAGAACCACACCTCAGCAAGAGGAGGCCAGATCATGAGCAGAAAGGCAAATAATGGTGGGGAAATTAGAAAAATAATTTTACACACTAAATTAAAATGGAGTGCTGCGCTTTATGATATATCCTGTGAAGCTCTTCGGGACTTCCTCCTGCCATGAAAGGTGCTACATCAAATGTAAGGATTAGTATTATTGTTTTAAGTGCAGCTACAAAGTACACTTTCAGCTGTGTTTTACATTTTTCCACAGAGACCTTGTGAGATTAACTGGGAAGCTCTGAGTAAGGCTAATACTTGATATGCTGTCAAGGTGCATAAATTGAGAAGCACGCCAACTGGAGATAAATATTTGATCGCAGTCTTGAAGATTTCAAACTAGAACAACTTAATATAATAATAATCCTTGCATTTGATATAGCAGTTTATCACATCCTTGTGTAACTGTGTAACTCTATCATGGAAACATTGATAGGTATTGCCCTACATCAATAGGTAACGTTTTGGGTTAATAAAAATTCCCAAATGAAAGTTCTTTTTCCCTCCTCTCCTCCAGGCAGCATCTCCTGCTATGGTACAGTTACACAGGCACTGGCCACCCTCTAGTACCTTGGCATGATTGTTCCTTACGTATGAGCTTAAGCATGTGCATTAGCAAGATATGTGCGCCAGTTTGGTTCAGTTGCCTCTGGGCGGGAAGCTCGTGGGTTTCTCTTGGTTTAAGTTAGACAAAACCAAGGCTCTCCTGCTTGGCTCCAGTCCGCGTCTTTTCGTCTCAGGCACTGACAGCATCAACCTACACTCCACTTTGCGGAGCTGATGCAGAACCTCACCTTGTTTGACCCTCAATTGTCCTTCACTTCCCCACTGCCTGATTCGTTCAGCTTTCCCCCATCTACATAACATTGCCCACCTCTAACTGTGCTGCATTGATGGAGGTGCCGTCCTTGGGATGAGCTGTTCAACTGAGGTCCGGTCTGCCTCTTCAGGTGGATGTTAAAGATACCATGGCACTATTCAACAAGAAAAGGTTGTTTCTCCTGGTATCCTGGCTAACAATCCCCCAAATCATATTGGTCATTCACGCCATGGCTGTTTGCGAGACACTGTTGTGTGCAACACAACAATTTACATTTGTATAGCGCCTTTCGCATCAGGAGGACGTCCCAAGGTGCTGTATTCGCCCACAAAACACAATCACTGCACTTTACATAAATCCTGTGAAGCCATTTGAGGCATCCTCTTGATGTGAGTACGGGACCCCCAGGAATGCAGTGCATCCTCAGATTGCATTGGGGTGTCAGCCTAAACTGTGAGCTCAAAGTCCCAACATGGGGTTGAAACCACAATCTTCTGACTCAAAGGCAAGAGTGCTAGCAACTGAGCTAGGCTGACACCTTAATACGTTAATATCTACAGCTTTATATAAATACAGTAGTAAGTATCAGTGGCACTATCAGGAAGAATCAGGCCTGAAGGAACCTCTGAGTCTGGCTGAGGTGAATTAACAGAGGAAAGTTGAATCATTAACCGAGCAATGTTTCAGTTTCACCTGTGGGTATTACTCCAGGCTGTGAGGAGTCCTGGGGTGCTTGACTCCTCCCATGCATTTCCATGAAACAAATCAATTTCTAAATAAATAGAAAGACAGCAACCTGTGAAGCGCATTCAAGGTAATGCTAATGCTTTTGTAACAGCATGTTGTTTAACAAGGAAACTAGGAGGGCAACGCCCACTCTTCAGTCAATGATGAAAGGGCGATGTCTCCTCAGGCTCTGTTCCACTGTTCCTGAAAACTGCTGTTATCATACCCCTCCTCAAAAAAAACACCCTCGATCCCTCTAATCTCTCACACTACCATCTCATTTCCAAACTTCCCTGCCTTGCCAACGCCCCAGAACACATTGTTGCAGGTCAACTTCAGTCACACCTCTCGCTCCACTCCCTCCTCGAGCCCCTGCAGTCTGGTTTGCACAGAGACAGCGCTTGTCAAAGTCACAAACAACATCCTCTTTTTCTGTGACCAGGGCTCTCTCTGCCTCCTCGTGATCTCTCTGCCACATTCAACACAGTCAACCACGCCATCCTCCTCCACCGCCTCTCCTCCCTCATCTACCTTAGTGGGACCGCACTCACTTGGTTCGAGTCATACTTAACTAATCTCCATTTCATCTCGGCAAATGGTTTCTCCTCCTGCCCCCATCCAGACAGCTGCGGAGTACGTTACCCTACGTGGAGGGCACTATATAAGTGCAAGTTGTTGCTGTTTTTGTTGTTGTCTGCCTTATCACCAGACTCTGCACAAGTCTCCACTGTATATAACCTGTTACACACTGTAACATGTAATATGGCTCAGTGCAATTCACTTCCGTTACATTTTTTGGACTGCCTGACTGTTCAATGCTTTGGGACGTCCTCCTGACGTGAAAGGCGCTCAATAAATGTAATTTTGTTGTTTTTTGGGGGGGAGCATAAATAACCGATGTGAATTCATGGCCACCAATAAATGATCAAGGTGATCCCTCACTTGTTCTTTTGCACACGGATGTACGTGATCTCTTTAAATGCGGGTGGGGTGGGGGGGGGGCAGGAAACCAGGTGCGATCCTGTCAGTTAAGTGCAATCTTATACACCTGTCTGTCTGCATAGCTACATGCAGTGTAGTACAGCACATACCAACTGGAATCGTTGCAACTCTGTCCATTATTAAAAGTGGCAGAGTTGGGGCGTGCAGTAGTCAGAAGGTTCTGGGGTTTGTTTGAGAAGTTGTGATGCAGTAAGGTTGCACAGTGTGTGTGTGTGTGTTGTGATGCAGGAGTGTTGCACAGGTTAAGTGAATGTGTGTGTGTTGTGATGCAGTAAGGTTGCACAGGTTAAGTGAATGTGTGTGTGTTGTGATGCAGGAGTGTTACACAGGTTAAGTGAATGTGTGTGTGTGTTGTGATGCAGTAAGGTTGCACAGGTTAAGTGAGTGTGTGTGTGTTGTGATCCAGTAAGGTTGCACAGGTTAAGTGAGTGTGTGTGTTGTGATCCAGTAAGGTTGCACAGGTTAAGTGTGTGTGTTGTGATGCAGTAAGGTTGCACAGGTTAAGTGTGTGTGTTGTGATGCAGTAAGGTTGCACAGGTTAAGTGTGTGTGTGATGCAGTAAGGTTGCACAGGTTAAGTGTGTGTGTGTTGTGATGCAGTAAGGTTGCACAGGTTAAGTGTGTGTGTGTGTTGTGATGCAGTAAGGTTGCACAGGTTAAGTGTGTGTGTGTGTTGTGATGCAGTAAGGTTGCACAGGTTAAGTGTGTGTGTGTGTGTTGTGATGCAGTAAGGTTGCACAGGTTGAGTGTGTGTGTGTGTGTGTTGTGATGCAGTAAGGTTGCACAGGTTAAGTGTGTGTGTGTGTTGTGATCCAGTAAGGTTGCACAGGTTAAGTGAGTGTGTGTGTGTTGTGATGCAGTAAGGTTGCACAGGTTAAGTGTGTGTGTGTGTTGTGATGCAGTAAGGTTGCACAGGTTAAGTGTGTGTGTTGTGATGCAGTAAGGTTGCACAGGTTGAGTGTGTGTGTGTGTGTGTTGTGATGCAGGAGTGTTGCACAGGTTAAGTGTGTGTGTGTGTTGTGATGCAGTAAGGTTGCACAGGTTAAGTGTGTGTGTGTGTTGTGATGCAGTAAGGTTGCACAGGTTGAGTGTGTGTGTATGTGTGTTGTGATGCAGTAAGGTTGCACAGGTTAAGTGTGTGTGTTGTGATGCAGTAAGGTTGCACAGGTTGAGTGTGTGTGTGTTGTGATGCAGGAGTGTTGCACAGGTTAAGTGTGTGTGTGTGTTGTGATGCAGTAAGGTTGCACAGGTTGAGTGTGTGTGTTGTGATGCAGTAAGGTTGCACAGGTTGAGTGTGTGTGTGTTGTGATGCAGTAAGGTTGCACAGGTTGAGTGTGTGTGTGTGTTGTGATGCAGTAAGGTTGCACAGGTTGAGTGTGTGTGTGTGTGTTGTGATGCAGTAAGGTTGCACAGGTTGAGTGTGTGTGTGTGTGTTGTGATGCAGTAAGGTTGCACAGGTTGAGTGTGTGTGTGTTGTGATGCAGTAAGGTTGCACAGGTTAAGTGTGTGTGTGTTGTGATGCAGGAGTGTTGCACAGGTTGAGTGTGTGTGTGTGTGTTGTGATGCAGGAGTGTTGCACAGGTTAAGTGAGTGTGTGTGTTGCGATGCAGTAAGGTTGCACAGGTTAAGTGAGTGACTGAGTGAGTGACTGAGTGAGTGTGTGTGTGACTGAGTGTCAGGTAGGTGGTAGGTAGGTGTGTGGCTGTTGGGCGGAGTCACAGTAATAACTCAGTAACATCAGTGTCGGGGCGGTGTATCGGGGCAGCCGCAGGGTCAGCGGGAGGCTGGAGCAGGGCAGCCGGACATGGACACCAGCGGCGACAGCGCTGCCCCCTCGGCCAAGGAGGGCTCGGGCTCCAAGAAGAAAAACCTGAGCTTCTTCAGACCCAGACTGTACATCCTGGAGCGGCGGCGGACAGACACCATCATCGCCGAGAGCTCGGCGGCCGCAGAGGAGGAGAAGAGCAGCAACTTGCGGAGGAGCCAATCCGACCGCACGGAGTACAGCCGCAAACTCAAAGGTACACAGACACCGCCGCCAAACACTCACTGACTCACTCAGTCACTCACTCAGTCAGTCACTCACTCACTCATTCACTCACTCACTCAGTCAGTCAGTCAGTCAGTCACTCAGTCACTCACTCTCTCACTCTCTCAGTCACTCACTCAGTCACTCACTCATTCACACACTCACTCACTCTCTCACTCACCCAGTCACACACTCACTCACTCTCTCACTCACTCACTCACCCAGTCACTCACTCACTCTCTCACTCACCCAGTCACACACTCACTCACTCACTCAGTCACTCACTCAGTCACTCACTCAGTCAGTCACTCACTCAGTCACTCACTCAGTCACTCACTCACTCACTCACTCACTCAGTCACTCAGTCACTCACTCAGTCACTCACTCAGTCACTCACTCACTCAGTCACTCACCAGCAACCCCCCAGCTCTCCTTCAGTGCGCACTCCCCGGGTACCTGCGATCGCTACTCAACACCGTTTGGTACTTTGAAAAAGCGATGCCAACATGTTCTCTGTTAGTCCTGACGCCGACATTAAAATATAGTTTTTTTTTGTAAGATGTCTTGAAAGAGTGGCAAGTGCACACCCCAACTAAACCCATCGCCTCGTGTATAACGGTCTGCAATGTGCTCTCTATGGGTTGGGATCATTGCAGGGGAACTTTGGCTGGTGTTTGGGTTGGATCTCCTCTCTTGTTGCCACAGTCATTCAATAAAACTCTCAAACCGATCGTGTAGCGATTTAGTAACTGGATTGAGGTTTGCAGTGTTGGGGTTGAGTGAGTGGGAGTTCACTGGATAACGAACTCCCAGTGAGGGTATTATGCACTGCAGGGAGCTGAATGCAATGTGCCTGACTAGAGACACCTCAACAGATACACTTGCATCCCAGTCAGCCTCTAAATGCACTTTTAAGTTGATAGGTCTGTGCAATAAAACGTTTCCCTTTTTTCAGGGCAGTTTTGCGGTCACTGTGAAATAGAGACTCTATTGCATCGCAGTGGCATTCTTCCTGCGTGTGTGTCGGTGCAGTTACAGGTGGAACATTGCCCTTGAGGGTTAAACATGACCTAATTCCCTGATGAGTCAGAGTGTAATACGAGCCCTGTTCCTGGCTCAGGTACGTCTCAGGTATAACACGGCGATCGGCAGGCAGGTGAGTGATGTAATGTGTTAGCAGTTCCCAGAACCTGGGCAAGCAAACAGGTGATCGCTGTATTCATTTCCTAAAACCCAAACAAAGCTGGGAGGTAGATCAGCCGCCCTACCGAAAAAAAGGCTTTACATTCAGATTGCCCTGGTGATATAGTGCAGTGAATACAACAGGATTCAGAGAATAACATTTGCTTATTATAGATAGTTGATGTCACGAAGCACAAGGTGACGACTTCTGAAAGATTTCTACCAAGAAGCCACATTACAGCTTGAACCTCAACACTGCAATCAGGCCCAGGTATCTCAACCGGTTGAGTACTGGATCCACCAAAGAAAAGAGGAAGAAGTTGCATTTTTATGGTGAATTGCACACAAAATGCACAAACCCCCCCAAAGCTCCTCACAGTAATTATTGTCCAGTGTACCAAAGTGTTTTTTTGTTGGCAAATATAGGACCAGGGATTAAGGATTTGAATTCTAGTGAGTCTCCTATGCCCATTCCATGTTAATTTAAAATACATTACAAGATCTAAATATCCTCCTTGGTTAGTCGGATCTGCTTGGGTTGAACTGATTGTATTGAGTCATGGGTCCCCAAGCCGGATAGGCACACACTAATCTAAAACATTTTGTTGGAAGGGGACCAGCATGTCTGGCTCATCAGTGAGTTTTGGAACACGTCCTGATCACAAAGTCAAACTCTTAACTGCACGACAGTCCTAGCTGAACAACAACAACAAGATTCCATTTATAGAGCGCCTTTCACGTGGGGAGGACGTCCCAAGGGACTGTACAGTTGGGTCAGGGTGAGGGAAGGGAGCGAGGAGGGGCTAGAGAGTCAAGAGGGGAGCTGAAGGCACGGTCAAAGAGAAAGGTCTTGAGACCGGCCTTGAAGGAGGAAAGGGAGGAGGCGGCGAAGGCACTGGGGGATAGAGTTCCAGAGCCTAGGAGCTGAGAGGCTGAAGGCCCGGCCATCGATGGTAGGGCGGTTGGGGCGGGGAATGTGGAGCAGACCGGAGCCAGAGGAACGGAGGGTACAGGTAGGTAGGGTGATAGTAGGTCGGAGAGGTAGGAGGGAGCAAGGCCGTGAATGGCCTTGTAGGTGAGGATGAGGATCATTGATGTACACAAATTGTCTTATGTCTTTGCTTGCAAAGTACAATTACACAACCCTCTACAGTAAATCTACAAACTACTTTAAGACATTTCAGTAGTGTGATAAGGTACTACTATATATCAAATGCAAGGATTATTATTGATTAGATCCATTTTTCTGAGTTTTTTCCCCAGTGTAGTATGATTGTTATGAAAACTTACTTGATCCCTCCCAAACCAAAAGGAGTGATGTTAGCTTGGTCCATGAGTATTTTCAAAATCTCGTCTTCAGTGGATTGTGTGTGCTTTTCTCCAGCTCCCTCTTTCCAATTTGGCTCATCCGATGCCTCAGTGGGTAAACATTTTACTAGGTGTGATTTGGTATATACTGACCAGAAACGCACATTTAATCCCTAGTGAGGCAAATGAGCTGAGCTGGGCAATATTGAGGGCATTGCGTCTGACGTCAATGTTCTTGGAAAAAATCAGCCAGTGTTTGCTTCCTTTAAACCATCCCAGAGACATCGCTTCCCTTTTCTGCGTTTTATTCTGTGTTTGCATGTGTTAGCATCAATCAGAGGTCCAAAATTTCCTCTAGTCTTAGCCTGTAATACTACTATAAGATTGAACAGCGTGTGGACATTTCTTCATTTTGAAGCTGACTTACTGCAGTTTTTAAGAAGAAGTTTCCAAATTAAAACAGACTCATGGGAACTCTGACAGGTTCCCTTAATAAGATTCCCATTTTTGTGTTTAAAACAGTAGATCTCTATTTATTTGGATTGCTTAGCAATATCGTATACCAGTCTCTTTACTTTTACAGGCAGGTAAAGGGGTAAAAATTTCAATCAATATTATGATATTAGGTCAGTGAACCAGAAGTGGCCCCATGGCAATCAGGACCCTTCCCCCTGCCCCCCCCACCCCCAACCACCCAAACATTCGCACTAATTTAGGTAAGTTCGTGTTCGATTGGGTAGTGGGTTTTCAGCTTTTTCTTGATTTGAATATTTCTTGATTTATGGCATAAATATTCATTCAACAAAAAATAATTCCTGTACAAAGTGAAAGTCTGGCGTAGATATAGAAATTAGCCCTGCTAATTTATTGGAGCAACTTACTAGTCTATCACAAACAAATTCCATCTCTGTAACTATCCTCTCTATTTCATTGGAGTGCATTCGGACACAGAAATTCTGTGCTCGCAGCATGAGTCAGTTGGTCTTGGAGCGATGCACGATGTTCTATATTTATAACCTGAATTCATGCAGCTGGGTTGTCATGCCCATCTTATACACTGCAAGGCAGGGATGGATAGAGCCAGGGACACTCCTCACTCTTCCACCTGTGTGCACTGGTGTATAGACACTGTTTTATTAAGTGGTGATCCCTTCCCTTCCAGTTCCCTCTACTTGTTACATTGATATCACTGCTGCACCTGCAGGTGAACACAGAATGCACTTCCCATGACATCCAGTGTATCGAATAACAATTACCCTCGCATTTGTTATAAAGGTAGTGTCTTTCACATCAGAAAGATGTCCCAAAGCATTTCACAGGATATACTGTAAAGTGGAATGACTGTATTTAATGGGTAAACAAATTGGTCCCAATTGCGCAAATGCTCTTAGAAACCTGCTACAGGGTATGATTTATATGCAACAGATTTCGTGGAAGCTTTGAATGGCTACAAAATTGGACAGTGCCTCCTCGTAACTTGTCAAAATACAAATCCTTTAACCAGTTTTACCTGACATGAATTCACCTTCAAGTGGCTCGGGTGTCACGGTTCAGTGGCGTAATATTATTTTGTATCTGAAACCCGCGTTCAAATCGATTGGACTGAGAGTCTCCTCTGTCTGTTGTCTGTAAAGTGTCCGACATGACGTGATTGTGGACAGTCACCACCCAGTTCTTATTGGGCGTGGACCCATAGCACACAAACTCGCACCAATTTGGCACCAAACACAAAGACTCACTGAGAGATCACGAGGAAAGCATGTGTGGGAAGTGGTGACACTTACAAAGTTAGAGTTTGCTCTCTTGGTGTTGGGGCTGAGTCACAATGTTGAGCAGAGCAAAGGGAACGTTACATTCAGCCTATGTTATTCCTGATCTGGAACACAAAGGTGCCCAAAATACAAGAGCATTCTATTCCTTAGCAGTGAAATAGTTCATTTTAAGGAGTCTTCTGTTGAGTAAAAAAAACAAAGGTTTTGGTGCCTGGTGTGGAACTCAGTCACACAAAGAAGAAGGTCGCCAATTCCATTCTTGTTTGTGCTCAGTTAGAAATATCATTAAATCAAGACAGTTTCCTTGTGGGTTTTTTTAAACTAATTACTGGAGAAATGCTACCTGGGTGTAAATTTTATGCAGTATTTCAGGATGTCGAAAATTTAAACAGTTTTTTCTGCTGTTCTTAAAGAACTTACAGAAAAACGAAAAAGTGAAGAATGCATTTAAGAATTTGCCAAATTCTGGCTGTTCTATGGTGATATATCAGTGAATTCCACTCCACAGAATCTGCTTCGATATAGCCCCATGCAGGGAATATATGGGTGTTGGAGGGCCATCGATGGCTTTGGCAAGCAGTGCTGTGGGTATCTGTTGACTGAATTGTAATCTTATGCCAGTGATAATAGGAAGAACTAACAATAATAATAATCCTTGCAATTGATAAAGTGCCTTATCACATCATTGAGACATCTCAAAGCGCTTCACAGAATATATTGTAAAGTGGAT